ACCTGCCCGCTGCACAACGCCGGCCACGGCCTCAGGCTGAACTCCTCCGGTCTCTCCGAGCACGGAGATTTCATGCTCGGTTCCGTGGGCAGCACTGAGACGGTCGCTGCTCGGAGAGGGGCGGCACTGCTGGTAAAGACACCGCTATTTCTTCAGAGGCGCGGAGATCACTACCAGGGAGAATCCAGCCCTGGGCCTCTCAAACTCATCGGGGGGTAAAGGCAAGCACGCTCTGATTTCTTGTTCAAAAATCTTGTATCTTTATTAATAAAGTATTTCCTAGCTTTATCTTCTGTAATACCAAAGTTTTATCAGTGCAGTTCCCTTTTAACACACCAAAATACAGGATCTCAGCCTTCCAAACTGGAAAGATGTGGCCACCAGAAAAATACCTGAAGAATTATGTTGCGGGGATATGAGCTCTTTATGACTTTGTTTCTTCTTAGCTTGATTTGCACCCTAAAGCTTCCCATCAAGGTACTATGGCAAGCCTCCACCACATATAAATGCTACGCAATCAAATAATCCTAAAACTACACAACAATCCAGTCCATACCTTATTCAAAGTCTTCCATACTAATCATAACTAAAACCCATATCAATTCTTTATGTAGCCTCAGCTGCGGACTGTGCAACCAGCAAACACATTAGCAGAAAATTAAATAAACCTCAAGACTGGTCTTGCTAATTTAGGCAGGTATTTCAGAAGCCACATGCTTCTAGTCCTGTGAGAAAGTGACTTAAAAGGTTACACTAAAAACCTGATTTATTTAAAAAAAGAGTAAGGACTATGGAATGCAATTTAATTCTGTAGGAATGTGGTAAATAAATTGTGTACACGCACACAAAAATAATGAGGTGAGCTTTGGGAGTTACTCTAAATCTTATGAAGAGCTGCCAGTCACAACTCCCAGAACACAGCAAACAAGGAAACATTTAACCCCAGCACCAAGGGTGGGAAACAGTCACCCTGTCAACTGCTGTTACTATTGCTGGCATACACACTGTTAACATTAAAATCTCTTCAAGACTGGACTAATTCATTTGAAGCACACTATTTTTAAAACCATTTTTTTCTTCATAGTTCATTTTACTGACAAGCTATAATTGAGAAACATCACCATTCACCAGTGTATCCCTTTAAAACATTAGTATTCCAGAATAACATGATCCAAGTGGGCCAACACATCCTAACTCCGTAGTGTCTACCACACTGAATGTGTAGCAGCTTTAGTTCATACGCCTGTAGGATCTGTAAGAAATCCTCAGATTCCACCAGAGCAGAAGCAACGCTGCTCCTGTGCCAAGCAGTGCCACGCACACGGGCCAACGTGCCGTAAAATCCTTACTTGATCTACAAGTCCGTGAAAAATAAGCCCATCAGAGCAGCTTAATAAATACTTTTTTAGTTCATGGTTTTTTCGTATTTGTTTACTTACCACATTATTTGCCACAAATTTTCTTTTTACAGATTCAGTAGTTGATAAATAAAGCAGACTTTCAGTCAAGGTTATAAATTACAACCAACAAATTCAACAGTCCGTTCTTTTCGTACTTCTAGTCCATGCAAATTCCTGCTTTACCAATAAGCAGGAAATTCTGTCCCTATTTCAGCACCTCAGATTATTCTTGGTGTTCATGCTCCTGTCCTGGGATCAGCCACCGAATGCTCTCCGTTCGAACAGTAGCGTACATGACAAAGCTAGCCAGGAAGAGCAAAGAAAAGAGAAGCAGCCAGTCTATGCCTTTTGTCAGCACGCTGGGCAGGGGCCCTTCCCAGTCTTCCTTGGTCACAGCCACGTCGCTTTTAGCTTCTATACCTAAAAGAGAAAGTGCTTGATCAACACCGGTAATAATCATTAAACAGAGAAGTTAGTCTGAGAACAGGAACAAAGCTCCAAATACGAACCAAGGCACATGTACAGTTAGACATAAAATTTTGGTGAGATGGTCCCTGTGTGTTAAGGTATATCTAGCATACAGTTTACTTACATAAAAATATATTGATTTTTATGTGTATTTTCATAATAGGAGAATGCTGCCGTCCTTCCACAGCACAGCTTTGTGTAAGTTTGGGAGTGGGTGTGTGTTTGTTGTTTTTGGGTATTTCTGCTGTATTAGCAATTATAACAATTTCTGGCCTCTAACAAAGGCCTTTGTAGGCCTATACATGTTTTTTTGTTTTACTTTACAGAAACACAGAAGGAGCAGAGAGCTCACAACGTGGACAGCCAGATCACGCAAACTGGAATCCTTTCGTCTCCTCCCGTGCAAGAATCAAAACCATCTCATCCCCCACCTGCTGTCAGTCTTACATGGCTCAGGCAATGATCCCAAGGTTCATCTGCCTTTATTCCCAAATTAAATATTTGGGCAGAAAGACATGCTTAATCCTTCCAGCACCCTCTCTAGCTAAACCCCGCTGTTTCCCCCTACTCTGTGACAGTAGCCCAGTAAGTCGAGTCTCTGCTTTCAGCATATAAACCTCTGCCAGGTCTTCTCAGGGTCTTCATGCAATTAATTTTAAAGAACAAACAACAGGGAGAAGAAAGCCCAGTTTGGAGCTAAAAGCCAGCGTGTTCTTGTTACTGACACATCAGGGCTGATTTACGTACCTGTTTGATTAAAAATGAAGTCTTTCAGTGTTTCCAGCGTTCTGTCTGTATGATTAAACCTAGCCATAGGTTTAGCACCTTGGAAAAGGAGGATATTGGGTACAGCCACAGTTCCAAATCTAGTTGATAAACTGATGAACATAAAGCAAATACAAAGCATGAAGGAAAAGAAATCCACTGGAGGAAAAAGCAAAGATGGTCACAATATAGCAAGCGTCAGTTTTACTAAATTAAATTGTCACTTTGTAAGAAAGTGTTTCTAAAACACACAATTTGCTAACGGAAGTAAACTGATGGTAGAGCACAGGAAGCGTGAGTTACCTGCTGTGCTGAGATGCATCCAGCGCCAGGAAGCGAAGAGTAGGAAATGCTCGAGGTAAAGAATTAAAATGAGGTGCCAGACTGGCAGAAAAGCGGCACCACGGTGTATAGAACAAGACTAACGTACAGTCACTGCTGTTTGGGTTTAAGAACTCCATTAGGTCCTTTGAGAAAGCAGAAGAAAAACAAACATGGACATTAGATATTTAATAGAGTTAAATACTGCATCATTCAGTAATCAATTAGATACTTGACAATATTTATCACGTAGTTGCACGTTTGTTTAAGCTTTTTAAAACAGATGGAGAAGGGTATTTAACATTTTGTTAAGGTTGTTTTAAAAATTTATTACTTTAAAAAAACCCCAAAACATAACCATTATAAGAAACAAGCTAGAAATAGGCACTGGTACTGGCAGTAAACACCATTAACAATTTCAGGCACACTAATCGGTGCAGCACAGAACTTTACTGCAGGCACAGAGATGAGAGCCACAGGCATGTGGACTGAGCTGTATCTCCACTTTTTTCTGCTCAGAATGACACGAAAAGCCTCCCAGCTCAGAGGCTTCCTCTTTTCGACAGCACAGAGGATGTTACGCAAGGACAGTCCCCAACTCGCTGACAGAAACACGCACATGCTGCTGACGCGGCACCTTTCGCCATCCTCACAGGTTCAAAGTAACACCAAGCAGCGAACCGGGCGATGCGCTTACCTGAGACACGTTCAGGATCTGCAGCGTGAAGCTGTCCATGCCGGTGATGTTTCTCTCCTCGCAGTTCACTTTGGGAGCTTTGGCGCTGTCGGTGCTATTGGGTTCCTCGGCGGGCGCGGGCAGCACCGTCTCCAGCACGACCTGCT